AGGAACAGCTAATAAGGGCACCTGTGATTGGAATACTTCCTTGAAACGTGGTCTATTTTTGCAGCATCACGAAGGTAGTTTTGCGGTGGTGGTCCTTGGCGATGTTTACAATATGCTGTTCGTCATGGGAAAGGTCGTGAAATGCGAAAGATCAAGTTAGTTCTTTCAAAGATACTCGTAATAGCAAGATCTGGAATGCTTTTAATCTTTTGTGTGATAAAGTACGACGCGTGCATGGCGTAGCCATTATGGCAAGCAAGTCGTGCTGGAGGATGCAAGCCGACAACAGATGTGTGGAATGTCTACAAGAGGAACCAAACGCTTCAGATCACATAAAATGGCACTCGTATTACTTTTATTATTTTTTTATTTTATTATTATTTTTCGGTTGTTTTAGTTGGATACCCATCGACATATTGTCATTGGTTTTACTAAATATAAGCTATCTAATCATCGCAAAGAATTCTACCCATTGGTCTCTACGAGCGGTGCTTTCACAATGTCTCATGTTAAACGGAGTAGATTGGTAGCGTGATGTACGGCGCTCAGTCAATCGCGCCTATCTAATAGAGCAGTGAGAAGAGTTGCGCTGCCCGGATGATCTTCGGTGGTCCGGGGTGCAGGCTTCAAACCTGTAGGCGGTTAGCAGCCGCAGTGGTTCGATTCCACCTTCCGGGTGTTGCGTTTTATCCCTGGATGGGTACAAAGTTTAAGGTCCCGATGTCAGAAGCGGGATGAGGACTTCGTTGTCACTCTAGACGAGGGTTTCTAGCCGTTTCAAGACCACATTTTCTTTTTCTAGAAAATTTGGGTTCAAATATAAAAACTGTCTGCTCTGTGGACTTATGTGGGCAGGGGAACAAGCCAGACTGCCAGAAAATAGGGTTGATGGTCTGTGGGTTCTCTGCGCACGGTTTTTGGCTTATAAGGTTCTAGGTGGTTGAATTTGGCACGTAACAGCCAAGTCAACCATAACCTAGTGCACATCAAACAAACATTAGTGAAAGCCGAAGAATCATGGAGCTTACCCTTGC